GCAAAGACTTCTAAGATCATTGAGTCCAACCTATGACTAAACACCACCAAGACAACTAGACTGTGGTACTAAGTACCAGTCCAGTCTTTCCTTTAACATTTCCAGGGATGGTGACTCCACCACCTCCCTGGTCAGTCCATTCCAATGTCTAATCATCCCGTCTGTGAAGAAATTCTTCCTAATGTCCAACCTAAACCTCCCTTGGCACAGCTTAAGAGCATGCATGTCCTCTTGTCCTGTCACTATTGCCTGGGAGAGAAGGCCAACCCCCATCTGGCTACAACCTCCTTTCAGGTAGTTGTAGATCCCTTCAAAGGGATTCAATACCTCAGATAAACAAATCAGAAGTGTCAGTCCTAAGATGCAATATTATAATTGTATTTACAGACACAGTCACAATCCTGATCTTGAAGTGTACCCTGGAAAGCTGTGCTGGGAAAATTTGTTGGAGAAAAGCGACAAGAATTCAGTAGAGCTCCTACAACATTCCTCCACGTTCCCACAGTCAAGCAATAAAGGAAATTACAGCTTAAGTCCACAAAGACTGTGCACTGAGAAGGGCCAGTGCTAGATTCAGGAGCCCTGAATTCAGCAGAGAAGAGGTTGTTCTGATTCACATCCAAATATGAAGACTCACAGTTCAGACCTATCTACACTGGACTTTTTATCCTCATTGTGCCACTGACTAGATAGGTGTTATTTCTCTGAAATCTCTCACTGACACCAGAACTGGGCTAAATCTGGCCACAAGGCCTCACCTGCAAAATGAAGGTGTAAGAGACCCTGATATCACAGCAACAACCATTATGAAAGGGTTTGTGTGGTGGGTTGGCCCCGGCTCCCTGATAAGGTCACAAACACCCATATGCTTACTCCCCCAGTCGAGTGGAACCAGGGAGAAAATAGGACAAACAGGAGTGAGAAAGCCCGTGGGCTGAGATGAAAACAGGGAGATCAACTACTAGGCTCTATCCTCAGCAAAAGAGATTCAACCTGGGGAACTTAATTTAATGTCAGATAAAATAAACATTTAATAACTGATACTGTAAAAAAATGTAAACATCAAAGAACAAAAAGGAACAAAACCACCATCCTTCATCCTCTCTCAGGCTCAGCTCCCCTTCACAGGCATCTCTCCTTCCCTCAGCTGTTCTCCACGTCCGCTCCTTCCCTGCAGTCCTTTCTCCTCCTTCCTTGTTCTTGCCACAGGTCCATTCAGTCCCTTAGTGCAGGTGATGGGTGGTACAGGGGATGTGGTTTAGTGCAAAGTGGTTCCTCTCTGCTAATCCCTCTTTCTTTTATTTTTCCTGTGCTCTGGCATGTTCCCTCCATGGGTTGCAATCCCTCTGGGGTGTGCCTGTTCTACTGTAGTGTAACTCCTACTCCTCTGACCCTTCATTCCCTCTGTTGTCTTTTCCTCGGTTCCCTTCCCCTCCTCTGTCCCCCCCTCTCTCTCCCTGTGTGTCCCACAGTGGCTTTGCCCCTTTTTAAATAAATTTCCCCTCAGCTGTGGGCTCCGTCGTGCCCTGTGGTAGGTACAGGTTGGGGTCTAGAGGAGCTGACTAATATTAATCTAGGTTTTACTTAGTTATCTTCTATAATATTGAAAGCAGCAGTAAAGGAAATCATATATCCTACATGGGAAGGTTATTTATTACAGTAAAGATTAAATTAATCCTAGAGTAAGGCTAACCAGGCATGTGTATGTTGCATTATTTGTTTTCCTTCCCGGGGGTCCCTAGTAACCAAAAACATCAGGGAAATATTTGTTTATTGTCCCTGTCTGGCTCAAACCCACATTTTTTTAAGGGACACAATGGTCTAGGAATTTATTCTAAATCTTGCAAACAAATATAAAAACAACAGCAAATCAAATATATTGACTGAACTAATTTATACTGGGTGACAAAATATTTCTGCCTTGGGTATGACAGCAGTATCCAGCTCTCTGCTCTGTGGCCATCTTTTCAACTCTCTAATCCTGAAACAGGGACAAGAAAAACACCTGAAACTCCCTCTTCTGAACTTTTAAGTCCCCATATACTTCCCAGCAGTTTCTTCCAAGAACAACTCTGTTTCAGGTGGTCATGTAGGGATGGGGGAAAGCAAATTCAGCAGGCACAGTGCACACCAGAAGATGACTTGAATTAGCATTGAAATGTTCAGATGAGGATTACCCAACTGCTCTGCATGACAAGGGAAAAAAAGAGTTGAAACAAACTGTTCTGTATTCACATCCGAACTTCACATATTTCTTCTAACAGAAAACTGTCAGGAGAAAAAGGAAGGGACAGCCAAAGTTGCGTTAGTTTATGTCTCAAAGCTGCCATCCTCTCAAGTCACACAAGAAGGTACATTTTCCACTAAGGAGCTTCTCAAGCAATTTACAATAACTGTCATTTACACATGTAACATTATAGAAAACACCCAATTTGTTAGTGCACCTCAAACCTACGGACTTGTTCAGAGCATACTTAAAGCCAAAGGTCATCACAGAAATATTTGGGAGATTCATCTGGCATGCGAATACCTGCTACAGATGGTACAGCTCATGCTTGATTTAGAGCAGAGACTTAACTGCTGATTATTACTATTTGCTATTTTTCACTGGAAAAAAAAAAACCTAGATGTTAGCTACCTATACAGCTGGCCTGAATTAGGATTTTAACTCCAGAAGAAGAAATATAGATGAGGAGAGATCTAGATCTGGCACTAGCACAGCAGATTAGGAACAGCACTCTAATATTAATATTATTCAAAGATATAGACCATGATAAGTTTACAGCTAAAACACACAAAAGGGAATCCAGTTTTAGTCAAGCCTGTAGAAAAAATACTATTCTTTTTAGTATTATCAGATTCATTAAGACTGTTATTTGGTTAAAAATCCAAATCCAAATGAACTGAACTACCTTGTCATCCAAGGCTAATTACAAATCTTTTACAGAGAAGTATGAATAGCTACTATTCCCAGATAAAATAATGAAGGAAATAGATTAAAAATATTTTTTCCTCTGAAAACAATGTAGAAGCAAAATAACAACAACAACAACAAAAGAACAAAAAAAAAAAAAAAAAAAAAGAGAGAGAGACTGAGAATAATAGATAGAACTAGTTTATTCCATGATCTGGAAGTTTTTTCTATTTATGCAATATGTTTCTAGAAGAACGTGTAACTTTGATTTTCTATTCCCCTCAGAGCATTGTTAAATGTAAGTGTTGCAATCATGTCTGATATATTGCAAAGCTTCATAAGATAAGAGTTTTAAAATTTATTAAAATTGACCAAGAAGAAAAGGGTGGAAACAGAAATCAAGGCTTCAAGGCTTCCATTCTTAGCTTCTGTCCCAGATGGAAAGGCAGTCAAGTGAGAAAACAAAATGTGTAAGTTTATGCCTTGATTAACTTATTATGATTCCATGGGTGTATTGGAAAAACACAGAATGCTGTCTTATTTAAAATTATAATGTGATCATAGAATTAGACATAATGTTGCAAATCATCCAGATGAAGCAGAAATAAAAGTCTATACTTGATCTTAAACCTGACATTTTTTCTTGATTTTTTGCCTAATCAAAGAGCTTAATTTTTTCTTACTTATATTTATAATTAAACAATTTTAATTTGTACCAAGTTTTCCTTCTTATTTTTCCTGACTCACTAGCAATCAGGTGCAAAGCATAGTTTAATAGGGATAAGACAAAGATGAACTAGTGAGATGGGGATCTTGGAAGTCTTTACATCAGGAGGTGCAAACATTCATTGTGTTTCCACACTTGTGCAACCATATCTTTATATTCTCATACACAGCAGGGACTAGTTTTCCTTGAAGTATTAATTATCCCAAAAGAGAATGTAGAAAAATCAGAGCAACTCTAGCTTTCTGCAGCATGTGCCAAAACATTTCTCTTTGTTGAAAATTACTATCTTTTTAAGGATCAGCTTTATACTGTGAGTTCCCACCTGACTGCAGAAAGCAGTTTCAGGATAAATAATAGGAAGAATTTTAAAATGCAATTCACTAGAAGTTTACTTTAGACAATTATTTTTTCTAAAGGGACTGTAATAACTATTTCGTAGTTTTTTCTTTGTGCAGTGCTTACTGTAGATTACACATAATAAATAGTAATAACCACTAAAAGCAATAGCATAAACTGATTTTTAAGCTCCACAAGAGTCATACTGAACAAGAGTTGGTCATAACTGTATTTTTAATTACATTCACTTTTTAATTACCATTTAATCAAACAAATGTCTTTTATAGTACTGCCTACATCCTCTTAAGCAATCAGTGTAATTTTTTTTATATACAATCTTATCAAAAAGGTCACAACAAAAGTAAGCCATTAAGTTATCACAGATAAGTCTGGAAGTAATTATGTAAAGCCAAACAAATCCTGACAGATGAATTAAACAAATCAAAGTTCATTGTTAGAAGAACTAGAGCCTGACCCAGTAACCTCGTGTGTTTTTAGCTCAGATTCCATGAAAAGAGAAAAAGAAGTCCTCAGAAACCCAAGATAAGAAAGATTAGTATTAAACATGTTTATTAGCCTGGCAGTCTTTCATGATCAAGGAGACCCAGACCCCATTTTACTAGATATTGTAGAGGCACAGAACAGCAAGTATAGTGCCATTGTTAGAAAGTCACTCAACTAGTTCACCTTAAATTTATCCAAACTAGAAATCAACTGTTAAAAAAAGACAACTTTTTAAAACTTCATTAGAATTAATAAAAAAATTCTTTACATGGAAATTCAGAAGCAATCCCAAAATTATTCTTGTGGGTCCTGTCTAACTCAAAATATTCTTGTGATTCTGTGATTGCTCCATTTCTTATCAGACTTGATATAACTGGGGGTTGGGTGTAAACTGAGTTGGAGGGGTGTGGGGTTTTTGCTTGCTTTTAAGACACTAGAATTTTATTTACACTTCAGAAAATGTATGTATGTAAGCAGCCCATCTTTCCCTTTTTTTTTTTTTTTTTCAGATTGCTTGTATTTGTAGCAGGAGAATCGTTTTATGATGCCTACCATGTGACAAATGCGATATTTGAGGAGCCAGTTTCACTAGTTTTCACAATACCATGATCACCCTTGATCAGTGCTTATGGAAGATCAGAAGACATACTAAAAGACTAATACAAACTCAGAGTTGCTTATTATGAGATCAAATGAAAGCCGCTATTCAAAATCTGCTGTTTAATCAAACTAGAAATTAGGAAACAAATCTTTACCTAATTTAAATGAGCAAAACATCCCTTAAAATCTGTCTGGGCTGAAAGTCTGCTGTTTGTATTTTTAAACTTCCCTTTGCACAAGGTACAAGCAGTAAGAATGCAGCGCCTCAGTGCAGTGACTGTCTTACTAATATAAGCACAATTTTTTTGGTAGGATTACATTCAATTTTATCTCTTAGCTTAGAGATAATACAAGATAGATATTCCAGTCACATAGGGAACTGATAGCACCAACATGTAAGTAGTCTCTGTAGCAATTGAAATATATTATTGCCAGTGTGTGAACTCACAAATGTTCTGAAAACCCTTATGAAAAAATTGCATTGAAAAGTACTATAGGTTTTAGTTCATTGAGTTCAATAGGTTGATTCCAGGAAGTAAGTATAAAATGATGGAAGACTTTCTGTCCAAGGACATTAGATTTTAAATAGTAAAACTGACATATTCAAAATTTTGTACACCAGATGGCAATGTATTCCTAAAAATGGTTGAATGAACTGTTTCATGGAGATCATTAGATCATTGCTGCTTATTGCTGAGTACTTAACTTGTCACTGGAAATAAGACTAATCCAGAAGACATTGATCCAACTGCTCTGAAGAGAAGATTCCACTTGACTTTCCACCTGATACTCTCAGCAAAGACCTTTCTAAAGGCTGAAATTTCCACTTCCTATTTTAAAGGACAATTTTTACTATTATATACTCCAATTGCTTAAGTTGAGATTTCAGGTTTATATGTTGTATTGTAGGCACTTTTTTATTTGAGAATTTCTCAAGCAGTCTAATGAAAAAGGATTCTCAGAACAAAAAGCTGTAGTAAAAGAGCATTAGTGTTCAGCTGCAAGTCAGCAAGTCTACAGGGGTTCATCTGACAACATTCAGCCTTGTACTAAACCTTGTCATCTCTAAAAAGTTGTCAAAGAAAGGTGTCTAGCAATATTCAGTAGAAGAAGAGTTCAAGGCATATGTGAAACCCTAAAAATTTCCTTCTATGTAAAAAACTTTAAAAATCTTGAATGTATTTCTTAGATTTTTCTTCTCAGCAGTAACACAGTTACTAGCTAAAGCACACTGGCACAAGCTTTGTGTGGTGACTGTATGTTTTACAATCCTTTAAAGAGAGGTTTAACCCTAAAAATCAAATTAAGTATTTAACAGACTACCATAACAATTAAAACTGTTTCTTACAGAAATTCCTTTCTTCATCTCCATGCATTGAATTGTCTTTACCATTGTTCTTTTTGTGGCGAAGAAAACTGAAGTGAGTCTTCAAACATAGGGATGAGAACTACATCATTCCCCATGAAGAGAAATCCAAACAAATGTTTGTTCCAGCAACCAAAATTACACCATCTCCAGATACCAACATTTCCTTTACAGTTCATGTGATCTTTGTCTTTCAGTAGAAGGGACTTAATGTGTCATCAGATACTGAGTGTGGATCCAAGCTTTTTTTCCAGAGTCTTGATCAAATCTCAGTTTTCCACAGTCATTGCTGGGAAACTCCCTGATGGTCTCTTCCAAGGGCCTCATATTAGTCAGGCAGCTGGAAGCCAGTTTTAATCCTGCTTATCACAGGATTTTCACTGTTTCCCTGAAATTACAGGTTCCTGTCTTTCACCTTTTACCAGTTCCACCCAGCAAGACCATAGCCACACTTGCCACAGATTTGTAGTTGGTCTCATATCAGAGTCCCATTCCAGGAGAAAACAGAAATCCTGCTTTTTCCTCAGGGAATCACTGCTCATCTTCTGTCTCAGGTGTTACCCTGATTCATAGCACATTCCATGCTTTCACTGAAGAACTGCAGGTCTTATTTGCTTCCTAATTTATACCATAAGTATGGGCTTTACTTCTGCTTCTGCTTGCTGAGGGATGCATTGCTTTCTCATAATTTCAGGTCCACCTAAACATACACCTCTTCTAAAAAGAAAGGCATATCGGGAGCAAGGTAGCTTGTAAACACTGTGGGTAGCCTGGAGAACAAAACCCCAGAACAACATGAGGAGATACTCAAAATTGGTGTTGTGCACATCTCTACGTGTACTGATGTGGGGAGACATCAGCCACTGAATCAAAACCATAACATTGTGGTGGGTTGGCCTTGTCTGGATGCCAAGTACCCACTCAGCTGCTCTAACACTCCCTTTCCCAGACAGACAGGGGAAAGAGTAAGATGGAAAACAACTCACGTACTGATCAACCAACCAACCCTCCTCGCTCCTCAGGAGCTTTGTGGCAGCATACAAGTCAGTCTAGGGATGCTGCAACAGATTGCATGGGTGGGATCTCAGCAGTTCTTTTTGCATGAAATTGTTCTAGGTCATGTGAAACTACAACAAATAAAGTAACAGTAGAAACAATTCTGCTAAGAATTAAAAGGTACCTTTCCAAATGTAAAAGGTACCCTTCAAATTTAATGATTTTGAGACTAATCTAAATCAGGATTGATTATGTCTTTAAACTCACCTTCCTTTCAGAAGTAGTCCATTCCAGGAGTAAGAAACCAGGAACTATTGTTAATGTCATTATGTACCTCTCTCAAGTCATGACACATTTGTAGAAGGAGGAGCTTAGGAAAAAAAACCAAGAATGCATATTTTTAAAATGAAAAGCTATGCACAAAGAAATCCACTATTTAAAATCAAAACAAATCCTTCCAAGCTCCCAAGGAAAAACTTACATTTTCAAAGACACGTTCATTTTCCTCCATTTTTTTGCATATATTAACCAACACAGTATTTTTTCTTACTGTTTTTCTCTCAAAATATCACTCTCTGTTATTAAAAAATTGGGCTCTGAAACTGAGTTGCATGGGATGCCATCTCAGTTTTGCTAATGCAAGTGCTCATTCCTCCCGCTTACTTCGGACAACAAACAAATAACTGGGTTTCACTGATATGAAGCAATATATCTTACAATTATTGGCATAAAAATGCATTTACAAAATAAATTTTATGCGCCTGGACAGTGGAAACTACATATTGGTTTCAGCTAATGTATACATATGTTGTCCATATGGCTACAGGTTTTAAGCCTGTCCTGAAAACTCACAAATATTTTCCAATAAATCCTCTCTGTTCTTTCTAATACAGGGATTTTTTAAATTTTTATTTAAAAGCTAAATATTTTGAAAGCATCAATTATACATATTTGAGGACTATACTGTACCCCACTGTGAGCTGTAGTTCATCTATCCTGATTCCTCTGACCACTGTGTTTTAAAGAAGATTTCTAAGCACAGCCAGGCTGTAAACAACTGTCTCATTGCTGGATATTTTACCAACATGAAAATTGCTAGTCTCCTTTGAAGTAAAGCAGAAAACTTTTCACTGGAAATGATTTTGCATGTGAAATGTAAGTTAAATGGTACTCACTGAAGTTATTGCACTCTGACCTCTTAAGTTTGCATGAATCATGGCAGTAGGTTCAAGGGCTTGAAAAACATCTAGAAGGAAGCAAAATTCTTCATTAACTGAATTCCACAGTCCATGTGAATGCTGTAAATTCCCTCTTTTCAGTTTTTATACTATTCTGAGTTCCCTTAGCACCTGCAAAAGAGTTCACAACACTTCCCTGAAGTGAAACCTGCAGGGAGGAAATTCACTTTGCCAAACATCACACTAAGAGAAAGAAACAGGCACCTCCAAAGAGCAATTCTGAATAGGAGCAATGGATAACCTTTTATAGTAGTGTCCCTCTTTGGCATAGGAGTCAGATTTAAACATTTTGAAGACCTTCCTTTCTTTTAGCATCCTCTATATATGGGAAGACAGAGAGACTACTCTCTGTCTTAGGGAGATGCCTACAATTTGACAACACAGAATGAGCAATATGTCTCCTCCCCAAATATATTCTAGTAATATAGACTATGTTGCACTTTCATGGCTTTAGCTGAAGATACTTTCACTGGTTAGTGGTGATATTACGAGAGTCTTTGTCAGTGGAGTGTAAAGCAATATCACACTTTCCTTTACAAATAGAGTGTTTCCTCAGGCACATTTTTTTCTATTGATATTTAAATAGGTGTTTAATTGAATGAAAAATGAAAGAGGAGAGCACATTATAGTGCAACCAAGTATGTCCCTATAAGAATTTAATTCTAGTCTTCAAAACCCATGTGAAAAGAGCAACCATCATCTACAGTAATATTAGTTCTTGAATATTCCTCTTAAAAAATGTGGAAGGACTGCTCCGCAAATGCAAGTTCAAACACTAATCATCTTGATATAATCCAAAATTAACTCACAGTGGTACAGAAAAGCAAACACTGAAGACCTATTTTTACCCTAATCATTTGGGACATTGCTGACACGAATAAGAGGATCCAGCTGCACAAAGTTTTTCCTACCTTTCAGGCACTGGTTTCTTTAGTAATATTGGGTTAGAGTTCCCTGTATCCTTATTTTGCTGCATAAGTAAAAAGTCTAAGTTCTAAGCAATCAGCAATTTCATTTAAATCACCTTATCTGGGAAAATATTTATTTACCAAATAAAACATTGCTAGTAATAAAAGTATTGACATCCCTCAATGCAGCTGCTAGTTGAGAGCTCTTGGCCAGAAAAAAGTGACCCTGACACAGTAAATACATCATGTGGGTTAGACAACTATGTTATCTGTATTATGCACAAGTGTTTAGTGCATAATATATTAACTGTACATTGTTAAACACATAGCAATGGAAACTTGCATCTAACCATGTATGGTAAATTGGAGTTTATATTTCAGTTCATTTGCAAAGTATGGGAAGAGGAAGAGCCTACAATAAACACTTGTCCACTTTGTTAAACATCATCAACAAATGATTCAGCAGTGCAACTCCTATTTAAGGGTATGTACATGTTGTTATGTACAGTCTAATGACAGAACAAATTCAAATAAACCAGGGGCCTCTACACACTTCTCTTGTCTCCTGTCACTCTTCTCACTGGTGCCCACATACAACTGCATTGGCCTACTGCTGGGAACACCTATTGCCCAGGGTGTGATTGCTTCCAAGTGCAGTAAAGCAAACAGTGTTATCACTCAGCAGAGAATACACTTTGCCCATAACAAGTATTTAAGAATCAACAAGAGGAAGTACTTTTTCACACAACACGTAATTATATTTTGGAACTCATTGCCACAGGATGTTGTTAAGGCCAAAAGCATAAATGGAGTTAAAGAAGAGATTAGACAAATTCATAGAGAAAGGGTCCACCAGTGGCTATTAAAATATGATGGTCCAGATGCTGTCTCTAGCTTAGGAAATCCCTAAGCCATTGATTGCCAAAAGCTAAGGAGAAAGGGACATATAACAGCAAGACAAGGCTCAGTGCTGGTGTGTTATTCTTGTATGGACACTTAGTAAAAAAAAAAAAAATAAAATAAGACATATAGTATACTCTGAATCCCACCCTACCCACAAACTTCTGATCTCAAGGTAACCAAAACTTAAAGAAATTTAACAAAGATCTCATGAAGTTGGTGGAAATAGGCAGATCAATAGAAGAGATATTTTTTTTTTAATGCCTCAAAGCTGCAGCATCAGTTCAGCTTTTATTAAATATCTACCCAAGACAAATATGTAGGAGGTTCAACTGCATTGAAACTGTTTGCAGAACTATGTGCTACTATAATTTATAAATACTGCACAACTTATTACAATGATTGCAACCGAATGAAAGCTATAGTGAAGTATAATGAATACTTAACATTCAACACAGGAGAAACCCTAAGAAAAACTACCCCTGAAAAAATAAGAAACAAATTTGTTTACATTTGATAGTAAAAATTAACCTTTTGCATTGCCATACATTTCCAACCACATACCACAAGGTCACATCGGCACCAAATGTTCTACTCCCTCTCTTTGAACTCCTTTGAAAGGTTTCCTTGGTCTTTTTAAAGGAGTGTAAAAATGGCTTCAGACAACTAATTCATGATCTGTTTCATTTCTTGTCAAGATTTCCTTCCACATTATTAAGAGAGACTCAATATTTAGCTAAACAAAACAATCATGTTGGAAAAAAATTAATGATTCATTTGAAAAAAAACACGCTGCTTGGCAAGAAGGAAAGGAAATTAATAGGACACAAAGGCAATAACTGAAGTACTTCCTTATAGAAACAAGCCTGCATGAATGTCAACACTAATTCCTTATAGTCAGCACACATAATATGAATTGTATTAACTCTTTGTGTGTTGTACAGTATATATGGTAGAACACTCTAGACCAAAACATTTTAAACAGTCAATGCTGGTTCATGACTTAACCTTTTATCCAGGAAAACATCATCTTGGCATTCCTGAGAGAGATAGAGAGTCTATAAAAGATAGAAATAAAAATCTGTCTTATTAGAAGTTATTGCCCTTTTGGGTAAACCCTAAACCTGAACACAAAGCGTCAGCATAGGAAGACTACAATGCTTGGCTGGGAAACAAGCCTGCCTGTGGGATTGCTTTCTTGGATTGACTCTGCCTCCAGTATATTTATTTCTGAATCTCAAAATTTCTAGCCAATAATGGTCCAAACCCACAATTTCATCTTTTAATATTACATCAGAAGTGTCTTATATACTGCCCAACTTATTTTATAAATAGAAATAAATCAACAAGAGCACCCTGAAGACCAGACTTATTACAAATGGCTCAGTTCTAAAACTTTTGCTTGTAGTCGCAATGAGTTCAATAAGGTAGTTGAGTATGTTTAAGTGTGAAGGCTCAGAACACCCTGGAGAAAATGAAAAGTGGATAATTGTTTCTAACATGTCATTTACATGTTGTGAGCTATTCCCAGTTGTCCACGGGGATGTCTCTCATTCATTCCTTCAGACACAGAGAGGTAAGGAGTCTGGATAATAACCTGACATTCAGGGAATACTGAGCACTAAGACTTGTTTGAGATAGCAAATATTTAAATTCGTTTTACAAAGTAATGAAAATTACATCTGCAATTTGTCAATAGAAAGGAAACTCTTTTAGTGGAAATTTAATAATGAAATAGTTTTAGGAAAATAACTGCTTCAGTGCCTACAGGGCTCAGTGAATGTATCACTGCCTGTGCATGAGGTAGGCAGCTCAGACAGCCGTGGTCTCGTGCCAGCATGAGCTCCCTTGCCCTTCTACACTGCAAAGCTTCCATCCCCACCCAGCTGGTTAGAAGGAAATATTTGATTAAACCTCAAGTCCATTCACTCCTTAATGTTCAGCACGGCAGTACTCAGGGGAAACCACACGTCACTGAGATAAATATCTCTTAAGATACTTCCATATCATTTTACATTGATTTCAAAAGAATCTCTAGCTGAAGTAAAGGTGTATTAATTTTAACTTCTCCAGCAATTGTATAACTGCCTGATGTAAGCCCATTGGAGTCTACTGGAATCTTTCCAACTGCTTTAATATGTCTGGAGATAAAATACATCAGTTGAACTGACTAGGTAGTAACACTGGGGCAGATTGCCTGGGACTCGAGATGAGCCTGCAGTGAGTTCCCACAGCTCTTCCCCCAGACAGTTCTCCGACTAGGAAACAGCAACAGCTATACTATGTTGCCTTAGGATAAGGCAATAAGGCTGTGACTACTGTGTGTATGCTGTGAATTGAAGGCTTCCTTATGATAAGTGTTTGAAGGATAGATGCTAATTATTTTCCAAGAGCTTAGGTTAATAGTATAGATGAAGACATAGGAAAAAATGTCTAAGTCAGAATGTAAACCTGATTTACATGATTCTGTTTCTCAAGATATCTTTCTAAAATAAAGGAAAACATTTTCATTCTTTTTCAATAAAACAAATAATTCAATTAACTTTTCCTCACACAGGCATCCAGTGCCATTTGGGATATTCATTGTGGTCTTGGAAGCAGAGGAGTGTTCTTTCTTTTGGAATAAATAATGCATTTAAGATAATCTAATTCTGAATTACAAAGAACAAATATCGGAGCAAAGTTTAAGTAATCAACACTATCATAAATAGGTAATCTCATCATAAATGTCATTAATTTAATAGAGACATTCCTGAGACACATACTGGAGAAAAACTGAAGTACTGCCATCCCTACTTTCCAGCATATTAATGCTAAACCTGAAAGAGAATTTCAGCAGAGGTGATTTCTCTCATTGCTGGGCTTACCTGGCCAAATATTAAATTTTACCCAAGTAGTCACATAAAACAGCAGATCAGGTAACACCTTCAACACTTACAATATGTTTTAATTGCACCCCCAAGAAATCTTCAGTTAATTACTGAGTGCTCAGTTCAGGCAAAGTCATCTAATGTACAGGTCAGGTGTGAATACGTAAATTACAAGGTGAATTCATCTTCACTAATAAGGAAAAAAATGTAAATTATGAAATTTTTCAGCCTGATGGACCTCTATACAAATATTCAAGCCTCTATGTACCATCTGCACCTGTAAACTTCTTTCAAAATTTTTCCAAATAAGACTAAATGCCACTGAATTTTAAACTTCTAAAAGCTTACGTCCCTTTTGTAAGGAAATGGTTATTTTAAAATATTGTAATAGTTCATTTCAGCTGTGCTTGTATTCCTTTTGTTTTTTGTTTTGCATCCCAGAGACTGACTTTAAATAAATATTATAGACTACTGTTTGAAGCATTTATTAATTACAAGCCCAAAGCCTTGAAATACAATTATATAAAACATTAAGCTATTAAAGGAGGGCAATGAGGATGATGAAGGGCCTTGAGGGGAAGCTCTATGAGGAGCGGCTGAAGTTACTTGGTCTGCTCAGCCTGGAGGAGTCTGAGGGGAGACCTCAGTGTGGTCTTCAACATCCTCAAAAGGGGTAGTGGAGGGGCCAG